CCCTGAATCCCCACTGTGTTTCACACAGCCTGACTCAGAGTGAGTGGTGGATGATTGTTACTGAATGAGGGTACAGGTGAATCTGCAGTGCTCCCCCTCCCGCGCCCCCCCCCCCCCTTGTCACCTTTGGTCCCACCTCTGCTGCGTTTTATTTGTCAAAGTGGAGGTCAGTAAACAGAAGGGCTTCCTGAGAACATTTTGTTTCTGCTCTGGTCTAGGACACAATACTATGGCCTGGCAAACAGATGGCTTGGTCATTTAACATTGTTCTATTTCAAGCAGAATGTCCTTGTAAGATTTATTCTCGGGGACACCAACCCGCTGGAAAGGATCTTTGGAGTTAACTCCTCTGATTTGGTCTTGCCTGCCAGATGCATTCCCCCAGTGACTGTCATTCATGGTCACCTGAGAGGTCGCTGGAAGTGCTAACACCCCCTTCTCTTCGCCAAACGCACAACTGGGGTCTTGACTGTCAAGACAAAACAAGAGAAGCACCCGTGGCAGCAGCTGCCAGCTCTGGGATAGCCTAGCTTGCTCAGCACTTGCTCCCAGTGGGGAGACTTGATAGGACGCCGCTCCCCTGCCTGCCACAGCTGTTTACTTCCTGGAAAGGGAGTCCAGGGGCTGTGAGGCTGGTCTGTATGGGCAGAGGCGAGCGAGCGGATGAGGATCATGTCTGCTCATTGTACTGAAACAAATGACCTCCCTGACTGCCCGGTTGATGCCAGAGGAGCTGGGAAGCTAACGAGCATTGCTTGTACCTATGAAGATGTTTGGCGAGAAAAGTAGAGCGGTGAGCAAGGAACTGCCCGCCCTCTAAGTCTGTGCCTTTCCTAAGCCGACAGCCTTGATGGAAGTGATTGTCAGGGAGCTGGACAGTGGCTAGGATTTGGGGGGGAAAGAGTGCTCCCAACATCTGAGGGACCTCTCTGGGCCATGTTCTTTCTGTATAACAGGGTAACAGTGGAGATACATAACAACCAGTATGGTGTAGTCACTAGCCAATGAGAATGAAAAAGGCCTTTATTGCTGAGGTCTTAGCTGCACCTGGCCTGAGCCCTTTAGCAGTTGGACGATGGGGAAAATGGCGAGAAAGGGCAGGAGTGGGGAGAGGCCTTGGGGAGCTCAGGGCCCCTGTTCACCTGTCACTATAGGCAGAGTTCAATATATTAGCCACCAGTGAGGCCACATTCCCATCTGACTATATGGTATGAGGAAGGTGGATTTGATTCTTGTACATCAGAATCACCTGGGGAGTACGTTGAAAACACAGGTGTCTAGTCCCTGCCTCAAAATTGTTGAGCCCTGTCAGGCCATGAGACCTGAGTGCCCGAGTCAGCTGATCTCTAAGGGTCCAGCTCTAATGATCAGTGCATCACTGAAGATTCTGAAGTGAAGTCCAGCTCACTCTAGGACTCTAGGAGAACACACCTCGTTCCAAGTGTAGGTCATGTGAGTGAGTGAAGCAGGCTGTTGGGGCTGGGACAAATTGAAGAGTCCATGTCTATCTAACAACAGCTCGACCCTGACCCAGCACCCCTGGATTGCTGCTGCTCTGGAACGCTGGCCTGACACGGACAGACCATGTACTGAGTCAGTCCTGAAGCTCACCAACCCACAGGTGGGGCACTGTTTTAAACTCTTCCTGCTCCAAAAGCCCTGTCTGTGGAGGGTGGAGGGTAGAGGAGGTGTCACTGGTCCCACATGAGAAAGGAAAGGAGACAAGGTCTAAGTGAGGGTCCTGATGCTGTTTAAGGAGACCATTTCCTCAAGTGTGGCCCTGAGAGTCTGTCCTCAGCTGCTTGTGCCCCTCCATCACCTCTCAGATGTCCCCCGACCCCGTCCTCCCCAGTCAGAGCCTACCCTCAGCAGCTTTCCTAGCACTGAGATGCGAGCTTCTTATGAGGTGAAAGGGCACTTTCCTAGCCCCTCTGAGCCTTAGCTGAGGGGTGGAGCTCACACAGGATGGGATGCTTGATGTGAAGTGCTTGTTTCTACCTAGGATCCCTGGAATGTTCCACAAAGAAATGGATTCCTCTAAGAGAACTTGGCTTGATTAATACATTTAAATCCAGATGTCAAATGCTTCTATCTCTGCTTGGGATGCCATTCTCCCCACGCTTTTTTCTGACTCCTATATGTCCTTCAGGACTTAGTCTAGTCTATGTTCTGACCTCCATGATGGGGCTACACTGGTTTCCTCCTAGCACCTTCACCCTGGCCATGCCCTTGCTTTAGATTTTCTCACCTCGAATTTCAGGGGCCCGCTCCCTTAAAAACATCCAAGTTTGACATGTGTGGGGTGTGCACGATGTCACTTTATAATATTATGTCAGTTAATCCTTACAATAGCCCAATGAGTTTGGCATTATTATCATTCATAGGTAGGAAAACACAGCTCAGAGAGATTAAGTAACTTGCCCAACATTACATGGCTAGTGAGTGGTAATTGGGAATTGGATCTGAAATTATTCTTTGTGTAGCAGAGCCTACCTTTGTAACCACTGTACTATGTCATGTCCCTGCAGCCTGAAGTCAGTGGCCTGAGGCCAAGGATGGTCTCTTAGTTCATAAATCATAGTCCCACGTTGGGCTTTGAAATCATAGACCTTGAACTCAAGGGTGTGGGCAGCTGTCAAAATCACTCTGCTACAATCTGTGGTTACCCTTTAAGCCTTGGTTAAGCCTGGCTCTGCACTGGGACACTTACAGTTGCCTTATAAGGTTACAGCAGACATTATAGGAGAGGATGTATTTGTTGTTCTCACTGCAGTGCCCTGCTCACAGGAAATGTCTGAAACACATTGGTGGAATAAATGAATGGAGGTCCCAGTGGGTTCACCTTTTACTTGGAAATGACACTCTCCTGCTCCTTTCAAATCCTCATATAACCCTACAGACATGGGGTTTAGTTTGGGAGGGAGGAAGTGGGATGTTGGGTATTGGTGAAGAGCCTGGATGGAATGGGGGTATCAAACTTTTGGAGTTGTTCACATTTCTCAGAAAGGCAACCCTCTACAGAGAGTGCACAATTGGAAGAATATTCTTTTTCATTTGGAAGTCAAGGATCGTGTCTCCACTACTCCTATACAACCCACTTGTCAGCCACAACAGTTAAAAATTAACTGGATCCATTGTTACTGAGGCACAGAATAAATACTTTATTGGCTGGTCATCTCATATACCTGCCACCCTGGTAGTAGAGCAGCTTGCTAAACTCATCGCTAAACTCATTGAGGGTGTTCTTTTGAATAGAGAAGCAGCTTAGGTACTTAAATTTTGACAAATCACAGGATGCCTCCCTGTCCTTGTGACCTTCTCCCAATTCTCCATGTGGATTATTTTTCAGCTCAGTGAGGTAAGGAGTCGTTCGTGTTGCTTCTGCAAAGTAGGCAAGGGTCACATCTCACAGAAACACTAGAATGTGTCACCAGGTTGGCTCTACCAACTCCATAGGTGTGACATACGTGCAGTGTCCTTGGCAGGATTATGGTTTTGTTTTTGCTTTATTAATATCTGCAAAAGTATGTGGACAATTCAGTTGGCTGTGTGTGTGTGTGTGTGTGTGTGGGGGGGGGTTATGTAAAAGATAAATGTTTTTAATCCCAGGATTTCAAGAACTATCCAGGGAAAAGGTCTAATTAGACCAGCCTTGTTTTTTTTAATGACACCCAGCCTTAGTGGCAAATGGCATTTATGTACTAAGGTGCCCACATTGATGGGCAAGCAATAAATGTTAAATCACAACAGTTAAGTCTAATGAGAATTAATGGGTTGTCTTACAACCTTGCCTCAGCTCTCTGGGGTGCCCCCTCAGCCCCGTTTGTAAGGCTTTCGCTTCAGTCCCGTCTCAACGCGGTCATCTGCTTTTGCAGACTCCACCCTTCTGTTCCCAGTTGTCATGAGTGTCAAAGCCGCTCTTCCCCGTTTCCCTTCTTCCCTGACAGATCCACCCAATCTATCTTCCTCTGTTCTATTCGCCACCCCCACCTTTTCTCTGACTGCTTTTGTTTGTGTCTCACCCTTTCCTCCTCTGTTCCCCCTTTCCTCTCCCACCTTCCCTGCTGGGTCCCTTTGACAGCAGCTGTTCTCTGGGGAATGTCTCCACTCCAGCTTTGGACTGCCATCTCCTCACTGACCCTGCAGCCTTATCCCACAACCCAGTGAAACAGCTAGTCTGCCCTAAACGGGAACGAATCAGAGAAGGTAAAGAATGTTGTCATGCAAATGGAATATATATCTAAACTCAAGCCCCTTACGGAGTTCTTTTTAAGCATGCCGTGTTTTCTTGGGGAAGTCAGGCCGGAGCCAGGAAGAATGAACTATCCATAATTCCACACAGGACCCTACCCCCAGCTCTGTGCTTCCTGCTTTATGTGTCGTGTAGGATTATATGTAGGGAAACAGATCGAGAGGCTTAAATTGTGATCGATCATCACTTTCTCTCTGACCTTCTTGTTTGGACCAAATCCACTAAGCTGACTCCCTTTGGTTTTAGAGGGTTCTCAGAAGATCAGAGTATCCACCATACATCCTTCCCCCCGATTTTCCCTTGGCAGCCAGGATGATGACTCTGTGGAGGGAACAACGTATGGCAGCCACTAGCGGTCAGCGTACAGGCCCCAAGGATGGCAGAAGCTGTCCTAATGCTCGTTGAGAACATGGTGATGAGGTCAAAGAAGCAATGCCAACATTCCCACCATTGTGAAGCCCCTGGCTGAAGCCCCTTTGAGAGCGCCGTAGAAATGCTACAGGGAACCCAAGGGATGAGGGAACAGGGTGGGCAAGACTGTCTCCCACTCCTTGGTCTGAGTAGGGGCCTTGCTGCATCAAAGCATCACGTGTAGAAGGCCATGCACTCTATCTTCCCACCCAGGGCAGGAACCCTGCTCCCGGCCTTTCCTCTCCCACCTGCTGGCGGAACAAGGGCCCGAGCTCGAGAACCCAAAGAATGGCAGGATGTCACCAGTGGAGGCAGACTGTATTTAAATGCAATTCACCTCTCTGGGGTCTGGGAAAAGCCACCCGTAGATTCATTTGCTGGGAAACACGGTCTGTGTGGCCGAAGCAGTGGACACTGGGGTGGTGGTCTTGCCCAAAGTCGACTTCCTCCGGAGGTCTGTCTGCTGTCCCGAATGGCAGCCGCTTCGGTGGGCGAATAGGACGGTCATCTCTGGGCCTGAGGGGGCGGCTTCGGGCTGGGACCCCTTGGGGATGGCAGGCTGTTCAGGCTTTCCTGACGGGTGGGAGGTGTACTGTTTGGCCGGAGGAGGGCTGTAATTCTGAAATCGCACAGTTTTGACTTGCTGCAAGAGAAAGGAGAGCACAGGGGCCCAGGTGAGGCAGGAGCTGGGAGGTTTTCCCAGGGACTTGAGTCCTGCTGCTTCTCCACACATGTCCCTACTTAAAACACCTCATTTCTGTGTTCCCTCGCAAACGCCTGTGTCTACTCTGAGGGTCTCGGATGCACTGCGCTGTTAGGTGCTGCGGACCCAAGAGGGAACAAGACTGCCCTGACAGGCAGTGGTAACACATGCAGAAGCCTCTAGGGGTGCGCAGGGGCCTATCTAGCAGCAGTGGGGCGTCTGGGGAAGGCCTCCGAGAGCCACAGCTATTTAAATTGAGAACTGAAGAACGATTAGAAATTACCTAGGAGAAATGGGAGAGGCAGTCACTTGAGAAAAGGGCTGAGGCAAGAGGTTATGGCTCCTTCCAGAAAGTACAAGAGGTTCACCTTCTCTCTCTCCACACCACCTGCCCTTCAGGCCTATCTTCGGGCCCACCTCTTCCTTGAGGCCCCCCCACCTGCTGACTCCCAATTCAAAAGTCTCATGATGGCCTTATATCCTCAGAGCAGAGGTTGCAAAGTGGACTCCTGCTGTTTGAATTTAGTCTGCAGCATGTTTGAGAGTCTGATTTAGTTGCCAACACATAAAATTGGGAGATTGCATATAAAAATTAGAATTTCATATGTCTCTTAAAAAATCAAAGCTGGTACATTGAGGCCTGTGCCCCATTCTGGCAATAGCTGTCTGGAGCTGATGAGCAGGACTCCTTCATATGGGAGGCATGGTCTCCTGTCGCCCAAGCCCCTTCTCTCCCTCCCTTTTATTTTATTTTTTTAATTTTTAAAGATTTTTTCCTCCCTCTTTCTTTCACCTCTCCTTGTCTCTTATATAGCTACCTTGTACCAACAGATACTTTTTTAGCGCAGCCCTGATTTAGGGCTTAATAGTGTTCTGTGCTACTGCTTAGAAATTTCTTTCTTTCTTTCTTTCTTTCTTTCTTTCTTTCTTTCTTTCTTTCTTTCTCTTCCTTCCTTCCTTCCTTCCTTCCTTCCTTCCTTCTCTTCTTTTTCTTTCTTCCTTCCTTCTTTTCTTTCTTTCTTTCTTTCTTTCTTTCTTTCTCTCTCTTTCTCTTCTTTCTTTTTCTTTCTTTTCTTTCTTTCTTTCTCTTTCTTTCTTCCTTCCTTCCTCTCTCTCTCTCCCTTTCTTTCTTTCTTTCTCTTTCTTTCTTTCTCTATGACATTGGATCCTAGTATCCCCCACTGAAAATCCAAGTTTCTTCATACTTTTGACCCTCACCACATCTCACAGAGGTCTGGGCACTTCTTAAATGCTGACAATGTGAGGGCTGTGTCTAACAGCTTGGGGTAAAAGGCAACTGGGGCCTAGAAAACTCTGAATTATTTGAATGCTAAAATCCAGAAAAAGAACTCCCAACATTGATATCAGTCAACACTTTTTTTCCAAATGCTTTTCCTTACAAGCTTACAGCTTAGTGTTAAGAGCATGAGTTTTTGTATCAGATCTGGATTCTACTCCAGACACTCACATGTGTCAGCTGTCTTTTGGTAAAGCACTTTAACTCCTCAAGCCTCCTTTCCTCATTTTAAAACGAGGATGACAATAATAATATCTACTAGAGGGGGTTGTTGAAAATAATAATAACCACTTCAGAGGATTATTGTCAGGATTAAATGAGATAAGGCATGCACAGTAGTCAGCACGGTGCCTGCCAAGTTGTTAGCATTCAGTAAATGCTTAGCAAAGAGGAGGAGACCACATCATCTTTGCTTTTGGCCTGGAATGCGTCATGGTGGGGCTGGTGGTGGAGGTGATGGTCAGTAAACTAAAAGGTAACAGTCACCTAATTTCCTTAATGTCACCTCCTCTATCTCGCTGTTCCTCCTGCCTTAAAAGGATATTATTGAGAACATAAAACTTTTATAAAAACCCATGGCTTCTAGTGGGAAAAGCCCTGCACTAGAAGTTAAAAGATCTGAACTCTGCCACAGAGGTTACAGTAAAAGTTAGTTGTTGGAATCATTATAATTTGGTGTGACTTTGATAAATCCCTTAAATTTCTCCTGTGTCTCAGTGGCCTCTTCTATATCATGAACGCTTATGATCAAGCCCCGTTTAAGTACTTTACACGTCTCATCTCGTTTCATCTCTGCATCAGTCCTAGGAGGCTGTTCCCGTTCGTACTGCTATTTTACAGATTAAGCAAAAAGAGTCTAAGAAAGGTGAAGTGTTTTGGTTAAGACACCAGACAGCAAGCAGCTGATCTGGAATTCAAATCAAGAGAAGGCTGATGACAAAGCCACGTTTTTTCCAACTTAACCTCTGGGCCTCGAAAGACACACGTACGAAACGTTCAGGAGGCATGAAGGAGAATACAGTAACACATCTGCAGAGGGTGTCAGTGGCCTGAGGGGTGTGTGGGGGGACACTGTGTGTGAGGATTCTTTTGAGGCAATTTTGATACCTCGTCCAGGTAAAACAAACCTCGGGAGCTGGGACGCTGTGCCAAGTTAGGGATATAAAGACTCCATACGCCCCACCCCTCATGTCACCTCACTCCTACCTTTTCGCTGCCATTTCTGGAGTTTTCTGGTTTCACTAGGATGGATGGTGGGGCGGATGCAGGTGGTTTAGGTAGAGGCTCGCTCTTGACAGGGATTTCCTTGCCTTCCATGATGAGGGAACTGGCGGCTGAGCGGGTCCTGGTGTCGCCGCCTCTGCTGACACAAGTGAGGGCAGGCTCCCCGGTGGGAGCGGGCTGCGGTCCCAGTTCCGCTGCCACCACCGTGGAGGGGGCAGGGGGGACCCCCTGCGGCTGGTAGAACGGGAACTGCTGAGGCCGTACCACCATGGTGGGGCTGCGTCTGAGGGAGCCCACCACCAGGGCGGGGATCCCTGACTGGACGGGCCTCTGCAGGGATCCATCTGAGGAATTACAGGACACAGATATCAGCACCGGGGGGCTGCTGACAGTGGCTTCGCTTGGGCTTGTGTGGGCCGTGTGTCCTGATAGCCCAGAATAGTTAAGTACTTTCCCCATTTGAGTGTGCTCACATTCTCGCAGGGTCTTTCAAAGGTGACCTTATTCTTTTTTTAGTGCTGTTTGCTGATGCTGGCAGGAAATAACTGGCTAGCTGAATGTTTGGCGGGGGGCGGGGGGGGGGTAGTGTCAGAAGGTGTATTACTTCCATTTGCCTCCTCTCTCTCTCTCTCTCTCTCTCTCTCTCTCTCTCACACACACACACACACACACACACACACCTACTCTCTCACTTCGGGGCCTATAAGTTGTAAAGTGAAGAACACAAACCTGAGGAGACAGCTTCACAGTGAGAAGCAAACAGAGGCGTGCAAACCAAAGAGGAAACAAAACAAAAGAAAGAGATGGAAGGAATCGAAAACACAAGAGTCAGCCAACTGGGAGGGATGAGAGGGTGGGAAAGAGGGAAGCAGAGAGGGCAGGAGGGGGCTCTGACCAGTTACTTGAAGACTATTCTAACAGGAGCGGTAGGCATAGGGCGGCGGGATTGCCCTTGCTGGGGGCGGAAGGGCAAATGGAATTAAGGGAGAGAGCGTGCAGGCAAACATGACACCACACGGAAGCAAATTTGGAAAGGTTGTTCCAGAGTTAGGGCTGTGCATGGATGAGCTTTGCAAAGTCCCATGACAGAGGTTCTGGAATCAGACTTCCTCTCAGGGAGCCTGGGACAGGTCAGCCACATTCCTTCCCTGCATCTCAGCCCCTCGTGTGTAAACCCAGCACCTTACAGGGCTGCTGGGAGGCCGACATTTTACGATGTGTGCAAAGTGTTAGGACAGTGCCTGGAACATAATAAATGCCCCGTGCTTCTAACTCTCACTGTTTTTGGGTCAAGGACAACAAATCCGAAAAATACAAGGTCCAGGACTATGGTTTTATCCCTTCCTTGGGCTTTGTTTGTTTTGTTCCGTTTTTGTTGTTAATGGAGATGATCTTCCCTCAGTAAAAGGAAGCCATTCCTCCCCCTCAAATTCTCTGGAAGACAGGACATACATTGTTTTCATCTCTCGGGCACATGTCCTGTACGTGATAGGGACTTCAGTGCACTCTGTGGGGAGACAGGAGACACACCCCTGGGAAGCACCTCAGTCCACTTCTCCGTAAGGGTCTCCCAGCATTTAGGGAGCATCAGTGACGTCCGGTCAGAGTTGTTACTCCTTTGTGATAGCCTCTGGACACGTGTGTGAATCACAGACATTTGTGTCCAGCACAGAGGGCCTGAGCCAACACCATGTTCTGTGTCACGCCTCGTCTTCAAGCCAGATGTGAACATGAAAAGCAGAAAGCTCACTAAACGCAGTCGGTGTTCTCAGCTGCCGTGAGCAAGCCAGGCGCCATTTACACAAGTCTGCCCTTTCAATGTAGACATTTATTTTTCCACTGACAGCCCTATGGGGTGCACAGTCAATTCTCCTGTCATGTGTCTTTGCTGTGGTGAGATTGATAGCTGGACCAGCCTCACCTTGGGGAAAAGGGAGAGAGAAAGCCTCCGGGACTTGAGAAAGTCAAAGCAGCGCTGTGCAGGCCTGTCCTTAGGCTCCTGGAAACGTGTGAAAAATCGGTTTTATGCCTCATCTGTTGATCTTGTCAGTTCTTATTACCAAGAGATTTAATGCTTTCTTATTTACACGTGCATCCAGTGCAGTCACAACTCCAAGTCCGGCAAGATCTTTGCAAAGGTAGAGGCAATGTGTGAAAGGAAGTGTGAGTGGTTGCCAATGGGTTACAGGCCTCAGCACTCATAAGTGGTGTGGACTGAGTGTGAACGTTTCAACACTGAGTCACTCACACACTGGATGGGCCAAAGAGGACCTGCTTAGTTGTAGTAGCAATGATAGTACTGATAAAATGATCACTCTATAAAAACAGCTATTATTTCTTGAGCCTTATTATGTGCCAGGCATGGTGCCAATCAGTCTTACATGGATTCTTTTATTAAATTCAGACAATACCCTGATTTTAATGTTTATTTATTTTGAGAGACACAGAGAGACAGAAAGACAGGCAGAGTGTGAGTAGGGGAGAGGCAGGGAGAGAGGGGGAGAGAGGATCCTAAGTAGCCTCCATACTGCCAGCGTAGAGCCCGAAGCAGGGGCTCGATCTCACAACTGTGAGATCGTGACCTGAGCTGAAGTCAATAGCTGGATGGTTAACTGACTGAGCCACCCAGGTGCCCAGGCAGGTATTATTTTTATTTCCATTTTACAAATGAGAAAACTGGAGGCTGATGAGGTCCAGTCACTTGCCCCAGGCTTCTGTGGTGGGATTATTTAGGAGGTGTTTGCGTGTGGGCAGGGAGAAGGAGGTGGAAGGTCAGCAAGGAGGGGGGAGGAGGGGCAGCTGGGTAGAGGCAACACAGTGGGAGGTCAAGTACATGGTGGTGGGGCAGGGGGTCAGGTGAGCACCCCGGGAGAGGGCAGGACTAAGATACCTATTTTAATTTTCTTGGGACCTTTTCCTGTGTGGCATACTGACCCACATGTTACCCTCTTGCTTTGAGTGGTCATACTGCATTTTCATATTTAATCATTTTTTTAAGATAGAGAGACTGTGGAGCCCAGTTTAAATCAGAAAATGTAGAATAAATCAAATTTACTTGGCTTGGCTCGTGGTCTTCTAGAGAGGTATGCAAATATAGAACCTTCGTGTTTTGTAGAACAATGGGTTCCAAACGCTTTTTAAAGTGCCTGAAAATGAGGTCTTATGTAGTGGTTCAATATTTTAGGGGATGAAAGCATTGCCACGTGAGCAGTGTGGATGTTACACAGGTAAAATAACAGCAAGCTGCAGAACAGTGCATGTGGTGGGTATGATTACGAGATGCTATGTATATACACAGAAGAGCACTGGGGACAGGGGTTATGGATATGAAGGAGACTTCCTTTTGTACAATAAAAATGCTTTTAACCTCATGTATGTATTAGTCAAATAACAAAGCAAGATTTGGGGACTCTCAGCATTGACTCTCCAACCCTCTTTACCCCCCTCCCCCACCCACCTCCCCGATATTTCCCATGTTTCCCTTTTATCCCCCTTGGCTGTGTTCTAATTATATGCTGGCACTCCGGGCTGCTACCATCCCCACCATTCAGTATACGTGTGTGGAGTGACCAAGGGCAGTGACCTTAAGTCGGTCTGGCTTCATCCAATAAGACCAGTCACTATTTGGGAATTAAAAGCACTCTTTACAGAGGCTTGTTTTAAAGCCAGTATCCTCCTTTTGCAAAATGTACTCTGTCTACCCCAGAGCCAGATCCCCCCATCACTTAGCTGTAGGCACGTACCTCTCTGCCACCACTTACTCTTTCTCATGCTGCTCCTCCCGGATCTCCGAAGAGAGCCCTGTCCTAAAGTCCCCGGGCTGGTTGTGCTCCTCACAGGGTTGACTATGGCGGTGGGCACAAAGACGGACTTGAAGGGACGGTTCTGCCGGGGATCACCTTCTGAAATGCTGCCTTGGGAGGACACAGAGGAGTTGGATAACGTCCATGTGGCGTAGAGACCAGGACTCCGAGAATCTGGAAAACTAGATGTCTTTCTGGTTGTTGCAAGCGTTTTAAAGAGAAGAAATAAAGAAAATGTTCAGTTATGAGTCCTATTTAAAAAAGCTCTCAACCATATACTGAATGTGGTCTCTCTTCACTCCCTTCCTATCATATATGCTCCCTTTATTAACCACACAGGCTTGATCATGTGGGTTTCACGATTTACAGCTGGGCAACTGTGCAGGTGTGCAGAGGGCAGGGAGAGGGGCTCATACTGAGGCCCCATTGGAACGAGAACACTTGACTTAGGTCATCTTTCATTCCAGCTCTAATCACTCCTAACCCCAAGAGTTTGGAGCACAAGGTTTGTACATGTTCAACTCGTTTTGTGGTTCTGATTTCCTATTCATTCTGTGACTCTCCCCTTTGATTCTAAACTCAGGGAAGGCAGAGATATTTTATGCCTTATTTTATATGCTTTGTGTTCTGCATCTATTGCTTATCAAAAGTTTGTTGAATGATTTCCATGATGCTTTCAGCACTGATGCCAGTTGTTTGGGCTAACACATGTTGAGCACTTACTGTATGCTGGGCATTGGGCAGTGCTTTGCCCCCATTATCTTGTGGGTTCTTCACAACAGCCTTCTGAGGTACGTACTATTAGTGCTACTATTTTTGTTTTAATTTTTAAAAATGTTTTTATTTATTTTTGAGAGAGACAGACAGACACTGTGAGCAGGGGAGGGGCAGAGAGAGAGGGAGACACAGAATCTGAAGCAGGCTCCAGGCTTTGAGTGGTCAGTACAGAGCCTGATGCAGGGCTCAAACTCAAGAACCACGAGATCATGACCTGAGCCGAAGCTGGACGCTCAACCAACTGAGCCACCCAGGCACCCCAAGTGCCACTATTTTATGGATAAGAAAATAGAGGCTTACAGTTACTTGGCCAAGCAGCTACAAGATCTGAGATTTGAACCCAGGTCCAGGCTGGCCCTCTCCTCTACCACTGAAAAGATCACCGTCTTACCACTGAGCACACTCCCTCCTGGCTAGGGAGAGTGTTCATCATTTAGGTAGCAAGGTAAGCCCTGAATCCTGCTTGAAAGAAACAAACTGAAGCAGTGGGGAGGCCCTACACATGCCTTTGGAAGACCCTCCCTTTTCAGCCTTGGGTTCTGACTTTTAAGACTAGTATTAAAGTTTTATAAAACACCAATCTCCATTCACTCGCTTCCAGATTGCTACTCCCTGAACCCTATGGGGAATGGCTGCCATTTTACATGCCCTTCTTGCCCTTTTACCAATCCTACCCCAAAATCACAGCGCTGATTGAGTAGTCCATCAATCAGCTTGTCACTTGGATGATGAAATAACCTCCCTGGGAACAATCAACTCAACCAAGACCCTGGCTCAGAGATGCCCTCCCTGATGGCCTTCCCATTAATGCCTACAGTCATTTCCCTTTATTTCTTCTCCTCCTTTTCTCTCCTTCTTTGGCTGAAAAAAGTGATATGGAGCTTAACAATGAGCCAGCCAGTGGTACAAAGATAGGTAAGGCGTTATTTAACGTGACCAACTCTGCCCAAGAAGCATATGCAGCCAAATGCCCAGGAATGATGCTTACAGTAATGGGACTTCTATCCACAGCCATCAACCTGCCTCTGGTCCTGGTGATGTCGTCAGTAAAGGGGTGTAGGCTTCCTGCCAGTAAGAGCTCCCACTCTATTCTGGAGCTGAGGGCTGGCAGTGGAGAGAAATCCTTGGCCTGGGCCTCCATGGTCATGTGCTAGATCTGCCTGTTTTTTGAATGGGGGGCCTCAAGGTGTTGGATACTATAAAATGGGCTGGCCACAGGAAAGACAGGTTCCATAACCATTCCCAGCAGCAGCAAGCACAGAATACAGTTAATTAGGCCCAAGCCAGCCTTATTCCACAAGTCTCTTCTCTGAATGACTGTTGATAGACCGAGCTGCAACCTGATTTTTCTGAGCCCAGCACTAGGTCAGGTTCCAAAAACTCTTAAATCCAAAGTCCTCCTTCCAACAGGAGTCCCTCTCTGTCTTTTGGCAAAAAGCTCAGCAGTTACCCAGCGCTTTCTTCTAATATCAAAGTACTTTGTGAACATATATTAATTAATCCCCATTACACTCCAGACCTATAAACATTCTGATCCTTGTTTTCCAGATGGAGAGACTGAAAGAGGGGTTGTGGGGGGAGGAAGGAGTGCTATTGCCTCCAACTTGCTCCATTGTGCTGCTTTGAGTGTGCAGGTCTGTGTCCCCTTTCCTGTCTGTTACAGGAACCCATAAGACCTAGCCCCCTCCCCCCACCGTATGTGAAGGGGCATTTGCAGCTCTACTGTACTCACCACTGGCAGCAGCCTCCTGGTAAGGGAAAGCTTGCACCCTGGCAACTTTATATAGTTCTGTGTAGAAAGTTCAAAGAACCGAGTGTTGGCCCCTGTATTGCTTTTTCCATCCATAAGGCACCAGGGGGGCGCATGTGCCTGGTGAAGGTTGTAAGAAAGAGGAATATCCTGGATACTGGACAGAAGGGACTGTGTAGGGAGAACATGAGGGGCAGAGAAGCCTTGGAAACAGGACCTGAGGGAGGCTGCTGAGAGTCTGGCAGCAGATACCTGAGATAGGGGGCAGGGGTCTGATCAGACGTTGCTGATTGTGTTCTTGCCATGAAAGGTCTTCAACTGCAACCACATTCTTTCCTCTCTGGTTCAAGCTTCCAAGCCCTCAGAGAGAGGCTCAGATGGGCTGAGACTGTTTCTTAGCTGGGGTGATGGAAGGAGAAGGAGAGGGAGGATAAGGAGGAAGAGCAGGATAGAGAGGAGGAGGAGGGGGACATGAGAAGGAGGAGCTAGTTTCTTAAGCCTCTGAAAAGAGAGGAAACTTGTGCCTCCCACCAAGACTATGCCTGAAGGAG